TCTTTTAAAGGCGCCGCCCCATTGTTCGCTGCGATGGGTGCGGCTTATACTGGAAAATAGGGCATTTTCAATCTAGGAAGACTTGCACACCTATAAGTTCAAGTCCGACACCAACCCATTCCACCGGCGGTAATATTAGGTTGGCGCGAAAGTTCTTGTCTAATTCAACGAAATTTGATGACTTTACAAATACTAAACCTAAATTCAAAGTTCGGTGTCTTGAAAATAGCAGATGAAAAATCTGCATTACCGTGGTAGGCTTCATCTTGTACGGTAACAACAAACAAAAAATTTGTTAAGAATGTCATTTTACAGGAAAAACCCCCTCATTACTGCACATTTCCAGCGAAGATACTTTTTAATGCTTCGAAAAACGTCACAGTGTTCTGAATAGGCGCCATGTCTGATTTCTGGTTCCAAGCTGTGTTTCTTTGAAGAAACTAAAGCGACAAGGGGATTTCCTCTGTGAAATGATAATTTTCACGATTTTTTTTTGATTTCCATATAAAATTGAAGCAATAGCCAAAGCAATATATAAACCAGTGGTGTGTAAAAAATTTTTACAGATTTTTTGGGCTAGCTGGCCGCCCTCCGCGAACTTCTGCAGCAAACTCAACACAAATTTTGAAACATCATTTTTCAAAACGTTCTGTGGCACACTCACATAATGTTATGCTTAAGCATCATAACTTATAATAACGGGCTAAGGGTGTTTACGTGTTTTTGTGTGTGTGTGTGTGTGAGAGAGTGTGTCTGTTACGAAATTCGTAGGGCGTGTCCCAGCAGCGTTCTAAGCCCAAATTTTGTACAGCGCATGCTACCTTCATGAAAGTCCGACATGCAAAAGCACGAGTAAATTCGTTGAGTGGATCCCTCAAAAATTGCGCGCTAAACGGGTCCACCCGGCTTCTGTACCGCAAAATTCGGTCCGTATCACCACTTTTTGCAGAGTCGTGGATGAGTTTGGTAGGCAACTGTGCAAGCGATGGAGTTTAGCCCGAAAAATGGTCGAAAGTTTACTGCATAACGAAAACGGCGCCAAAAAGAATTGGTTGTGTAAATGGTCAATTTGCCAAGGTTCTAGCTAAGCGCTTGAGAAGTTTTTGCACAGAGATGTAGCTCACGGCTACTATTACCTCTATGGCGACTACCAAGCCATGACAAATCCAAAAACCTATTCAAATTTGCGTTTGTCTTCCTGCGAAAAGTTTCATCCACGCGAAATCACCGATCTTACGTGAAAAAACTTTCTAAATGAGTGGTTGTTTACATTTTATTCGTGGTAGTCGGCATAGCGCGGTGAGTTCCAGTGCCACAATTCTACGAGAATGAGTAAGGCACATAGATAGTAGAGCCAGGGCGAACCTCTGCGAAGCAGAGGTGACGCACTGGTCCATTATAAAGCCGAAAACCTTCTGCTATTTTTGGATACCGTACTGTGAATTTATCTTATTTTGAAAAGTTATTGAATATCGTTTGAACTACGCAAGAAACGCCAACCTAATATATACATCTATTCTATACACATCAGCTTCAAAATGACACTCCTCTTTCGGAGGAAACGCACTTGCACAACAGCAATCGACCCCGACCTGCACGAGAATAACGAAGAACTTTGAGAATCAAGACTTCGTCGCACATCTGCTTTATTTCTTTACGTTTTATGATTGAACATTTTTTTCTTATTATCACCACGCTGACTAGAAGAAATGCATTCATTCTATGGCTTTACTCCTGTGCTCATGCGTTTGATTTTGTTTACAATCCTTGAAGAACTGCAGTCACTCAATTAACATGTGTAGAAGTAAAAAGTTTTCGATAAACAACCATTGTAAGTGCTTATGAACTCGAAAACATGGGTATGAAATGCCTTATAATATCTCAAGAGAACAGCGATGCGCGCAAGTTGTGCCGTAGTTGATATTACGACATCACTGAGTTTCGCGCTGAAGCTCAGATTTAATCCCCGTCTGCATGAATGCGGGAGGAAAAGTTGTTCCGGGCAGTAACCTAGCGATCCAAAGCCGGTGTATGGATTCCCGTGACAGATTTGATTGAGTCCCGCAGTCATTCCGTCGCTACATAAGTTTTCTATGCGCGCGAGTCAACCACGAATATCTGAGTAAAGCAAGAAAAACGATCGGGACAGTGGGGAAACTTACGCTTTGGGGTGAGTCCTCCATCCTCTCCCCCCCCCCACCCTCCGATTGTTGATGGATTCCCTAATCACTTAGTCTTTGACAAAACCATTTACCTCTGCGAGCTGAAAATTTCGCGATTTCAGATCAAACTCTCAAAAAAAAAATCACAAAACCCATAAAAGTTTGCTTTAGCCCTACATGATCACAGAACAGATCAAGATAGATCAAGAGCAGAAGAAAGAAGAAGAAGAAAGAAGAATGAAAGAAATCATCAAAATATTTAAAAAGCCGGAACTGAAAAAGAAACTTCAAAGGGAGAGGAAACAGAAAAGTTGACGCTGGAGCGCGAAACCTAACAAGGCGATTTTCGAAAAGAAGAAAGTAAAAACGGCGGACAGGTGGCGATATGAAAGTGTACCTATGCTCAGGGATAGATTCTTGACCGGGGCACCCGTCCATGTCATTGAAATCCGAAACTTATGTGAAGTGGCGGAAATATATGCTCCACGCGATCTCAAATCGTCTGATGGCCGTCTGGAGACGGACTAATTTTGGAAAAGGTATTACTTCGCGCAAGTTTTTAAATATTTTTACATAATTCTTCCGCAAATAATTTTCTATGTACCCTAATTTCACGCGTACAAGGCGCACCTTTTTCGATTTTTCGACTAAGCCCCTCAGCCGCTTTAAATTATTTCGGAAAGCGATCCTTATTCCGTACGATTCTCTCAAGCAATATACAGCAAGGCATAAGGTCCTTTAGTTGCAAAGTTCTTTGGCTATTTTCGCCGGTCGATTTTGGAAAAAAATCCCCCGCGCCTTGTACGAGTGAAATTAGGGTAATTTTGGTGTGATTTTTCTCAATTTTGGTGTCATATGATTCTGTGCGCGCTATAAACAAGCAATTTGTTTATTTTAGCCTTGCTTTCAAATCGCACGCACTTTTCGTCATACACGACAGAGCATGTAAATCGTGAAAGGGGGGCACGCGGAAGGCGACAATGCGCGCCGCAAAATGCAAGCATTGTAAAGTCGCTGTTTCTAAATTTTACAGAATTTTACTTATGGCATTGAGTCATGTATCTGCCCCCACCCCCCCCCCCCCCACCACCCTACATTCGCGCCGTGCCACTTTAGCACCGAAGAGTTTTGAAAGGCACAAAAGTTGGGCATTTTCGTCTTTCGCACCACATTCTGTGATAACCTGTCCGAAAGGCTTGCGTTTGACTAAATGGCGCTTATCCTTGGTGCTCGACCCCGCCGCAAAAACGATATCTCCTTTGCTTTTGCTCCAAAAACGAAGTCCAACTTGCTTCCAAACGATCTGTGCCGGGCCTTGATATCAGGTCTAAAAAATACTTGGCTGGGTCACTGTCAGCGGTGTACCCTTGGCATATTCTTAAGACTGAATTTAGGGAAAGAAAACACTGCGGAATCACATTCGTACTCTTGCATCTGGTATTTCAAAATTCGGTTTCTGTGAGAAAAGCATTTTTGTCTCCATAAGATTCTTCAAAAAATCCAATCGCTATTGATATTGCACAATATCGTTATGAAAAAGCGATTTCGAGAACCCGTAAACCTGACATTGGTCTTGATTCGGAGAAAGAAATTTTGAAAGCCTTCAAATCCGACTCTTCATTTTGTTTAAGTATTATCGGTGCTGAACGTTGACTTTGCAACGAACAAATCTCACTACCGAAAAGAGCAACCTCGAAAACCCCTAAATCCGAAATTTGTCTTGATTGGAGCAAATTCACTTTTGAACTTCGTTTTTGAAAAGTTCTTGAAAGTCCGTTTCCAGCATCTGGAGCGACATGGATAAGGGTTCGGGGCTTGCGATGTCTTGGTCGCTTGAGGAGCTCGTAATTGTAGCGAGCCCGGATGTGCTTGGCAGGCACATCAATTAGGGGGGGGGGGGGCGTATCGTTATGTGAGGGTTGGAATTGGAAAACGTCGCGCGCGACAGGCTGCCAGTGACCAGACTCGGGGAATTCAACCAGCATGATCCGTAGCTCATAGTTTTTCAGTCTCTCATTCTCTGTTGAGGTTCCTATTCTCAATCATTTTGCTTAAGAATTTGAAGTTCTGCCAAAAAGTTGTAAAATGAGCTCTTTAAAGGACAAAAAAGACACAAATTGAAGAAGGTAAAAAACTAACAACATAAAAGAAGCATTGGTAATCCAGTGGTATAAATCTGACAAGTTTTCTGCACTGCTGCTCCCCGCGCGCGGTCACTGTAACGCCGCGTTGCGACGTTTTCCATTTGGCAGCCCGCACATGTAACGAGCGCCCCCCCCCCCCCATCAATTAGGTGCGAGAATATGGCTCGGGTGAGAAAATTCCCCCCCCCCCCCCTCTCCCGGTTGCGGTATACGCCACACTCAGAACTCAGTTTCTATCCCTCAGATGGTGACTTGCTCTGCAACGGCCTGCCCTAATTTGCATTGAAAATTGCTTACGGGGTGCCCATTAGGATGAGGCCCTTTTATTTTGATGGATAAAATCATGTCTCTCATCTTACATGGTGATGCCATTTCTATACATGCTGATAATTGCCAAATGGATTGCCAGTTTCAAAGGAAGAAAACGAATTTTGTGACAGTATGTGAAGGGTAGGCTATAGGTGAGAACAAAATCTTGTCTCAGTCTTGCTGGAAATGTACAAAAGGAAAGTTTACGAGTCACACTTCAGACGAAAATAATTGCGTACACATGTCTACGAAGTTTCAGTTTTGGTTCGCGGCGAATCCCATTCACAGATAGTCAGTTTCACCTTCAAAAACCAGTTTCTGCGCTGCGGTTTGATTTCGTTGTCTCAGAAGTTTTCTCGCAACTTACAACGTTTATGAAGGACACAACATCTAATTATACAATTACAATGAACACAAAATATGCAGAGAATAACAACATCAATTAGTCTTGGTCTTATCGCCACCCAGCTTGTTCTTTCTTTGTCTTATCATATGTCCCAACAATGTTTGGGCAATGAATGGCATACATACAAAGGCTAGCAAAGCAAGTAGAACACCGATATTCAGTTTTACGTCCGTATACGGTATGGTGAGCGATGTGCCGCTTTCATAGTAATATCGAATAGAGGTGACTTGGCTGATCCCTGAAAAAGTTCTCATGAAAATTTGGTACACTCAAAGATGCTTACATTATGCGCATGATTATGCAAATAACTTCGAAATAGCTTTAGTTAATTACTCATGTGCGGACCAGTCTTACTGCGGACCTCTGCATCTTTTCATAGACATGTACTCTCACCACTTTAATCGTCTGCGTCTCTAGAGTAGTGAACGCATTTGCGAGGTCGTGTTAGGCATAAAACGCGTTAACTACGTGTTCAAATTGTCCACAATCGTACACCTTCGTACACCTTAATTTAACGAGCTTGGAGGCTGGAAGGCGGCTCTTCGAGGCCCATTAAAGGCAGTGTCCCGGCAGATTCGAGTCCTGGGAGATATACGTGTGGTGGGGTTCCTGGTCACCCCATCGACCTCCAGGCGCACTCCGGCTGGGTGATGTTCCCCCTGGGCCGAGAAAATGGCCCTTGAACCGGCGCGCGCAACCCCAACTGGCGCGCGCTTGGACGGCCTTCCCCGCCGGTTCGGCGCGGGACCCCACGAGCGCTCTCCTCCATGATGCATGCTATCCAAAGCAAGAATTACAGGCGGCAGGATCTTCGTCTGAGGACCTCCCCCAACTTTCCATTAAAAATCTCGTCCAAGCTGCTTTTCTGGAATTAGGAAAACGCCCCAAAATCGGCCTTTTCAGCCCGTTCAAAGCTCAAATTCGGATTCTACGTGGCGAAAAGGCTTAAAACATGCAAAAAGGTGGAGGTGCAAAATCTGCCGGGACACTGTCTTTAAAGGCTAGAGAACGATCAGAAAGCACTCCCGCGAGAGAGGCGCAGACTGCGTCCCCGCTGCTAGCGCCAATCCCGGTGAAATATAGGGTACTAGCTTGCTTACCCGGCTCCGCCCGGCCCTGTGAAAACAGTGTAATAAAGGTCCCATCCTTATCCCTGTACAGCCTTTCCCTGTGCCTTCTACACTTCATTTGCCGTTCCCTGTGTTGTTTTCGAAATCAGCATGCCCACTTACCGCTCCTGTGCCAACTCCCAGCCCTGTAGCTCAAACGTTGCAAAAATCGATAAAATCGATAAAAGTAGTGGACGATTTCAAAAACTAATATTGTATTTTTAATCAGCATGCTCGACTACCCCCCGTGTGCAAACTCCCAGCCCCGCAGGTCAAACTTTGCAAAAAACCGATAAAATCTATAAAAGTAATCGATAATTCTGAAAACTAATATTGCATTCGGAATCCCCATGCTCACTTACCCCCTGTGCCATCTCCCAGCCCCAGGTGAACTCTACAAAAAAATCGATAAAAATCGATAAAATTGATATCGACCAATACGAAAAGTAGCCTATGACACGGTCCCTGCCCCGAAATGTACGTGTGCCAAGCTTGGTCCAAATCGGTCCGAAGTAAAAATTTCTAATCCGCACATACGTACAGACAGACAGACAGACATACATACACACATTCAGCTTTATATATAAGAATATACCAAGCCATCTTTTCCTCCAATTTTGTGATTTATTCAGCCACGCAAAAAAGCCGCTTTCAAAGTGCTGAGAAGGTACTTACATTCCATCAATAGCCCCAAAGGGTAAAGTGGAATCCATGCGGAATATCGGAGCCAAGTCATGGGATATACTTCAATATCCCATGCTCGGAGTGCATAGTACGGGTATCTAAAAAAATCATCGTTTTTTGTATGAAAAACCTCAATATTTTAAGAAAAAGTAGCCGCTTTTCAAAAACTTTGGAGATTCACAGCTTTGCTTAGGTAATTCTTAGGAAATATATGAAAAACGCAGAGAAACGATGCCAGTGGGAATGCTGTCTACGTCCCCAGATCAAACGCGCTTTCACTCCTCTAATATTTTGCTGTCTCTCTCAAATATGTACGATTTCAAGTGGATGCAACGTCGTTCCACTTCTGCGTGCTAGGAATTGCCTATAAATATCATTTCCTTCCTGCTCACCTAAAAAGTTCTATAAGTACCCAGGCAAACAATAATATAGGAGTGGTAATCTGGTCGTGAATGGTAGGATTTCCTTCAATGATAAAAAGCATCGCCAAACGTCCGCATACCTAAAATTCTTTTTTTCACATTGTAAAAGCTCATGATACCTTTGATCAATACATTTCTGTCAGAAGCCGTGATTGACTTGCTGGACTAGACACCTGCGTACTTCTGCGTCTCCGAATGGGCGCTCTTTCACCACTTCCTTACTGCGTCTCTCAAAACAACCTGCACTCTGCAAACTTTTTCAAAAAGGAGCAGAAATTCGAGGTGGCGTCTAGTTCCCACAACCATGAAGTTATTATTGCCAATAACTAATATTTTTTTTCTAATCCGCATGACCTACCTGGATAAGCCCAGCCACAATACTAGTAGTAGTGATACCCAGTAATCCGTGAATAATATCAAGTAGTTGGGCTGTTGTTCCAATGCAGAACAATGGGAAATGATCAACATAATAGAACTTTCCTAAAGAATTTTATGTAAGTGATGTTTCCGATAATGTCAAATTGATTGAAAATTACCTGCCATGCATGCATTCACTATTTTCACAAAAATCACCAGATGGATTAGAAATAGTGTAACGTTGTAAAGAAAAATATACAAACTGAGATATGGTGAGCGTTTTGCAGGTTTTACCATGTGCGCTGAAAAAAAAAGTTTGAAGTAGTTCGGTCTAAAGAACAAACAATACAAGAAAGTAAACAACAAACAAACGACGCTGTACGGCCTGCTATCTATTTGTAAGTAAGCAGTGTCATTGCTTGATAAGGTTGTTGTGAAGTATAGTGTAGTCAACGAGTGCCACCGTGGAAACAGTCGCGAACAATAAAATTTCGCTCAACACATTGACGACCAAGGCGTTTCGAGGACCAGTCAACATTTTCTAAATAAAATCGCGCACAATTCCATTTACAGTAGATCTACAGTAACGCTGAATGCTAGCAAAAACAGTAAAGGTTGTGTCTAGATCGAGCATAAAAGAAAACACCCGGGGTGGGCTAGACACAGAATAGTAGCCATTTCAATGACATATATGGTGTGTTAAGCCTTGACACACCATACATATGTGTCAAGCGGTCGTCAATGTGTTAAAAAAATTATTGTTGGGGTGTGTTCGAAATCGTGTCTCAATTGAACACTTTTGGATTGGTAACGTTAAAAGTCTCTTACAAGAGAGGTACTTGTTCGAAGTGGAGTTACTCTATGAAATGTATACTGTCTTATAGAGCACGGAGTTGTGATTCCAAACCCGCTTTTATTATCTGCATAGCGTTTTTGGAAACGGATTCATGGGAATTTTTGAGTCAAAAATTCGAGTTTGATAATTACAGGTGTTGAGGTCTTTTCGGCGCTTTTCCCCTCCCAGAATAGCTTTGCAGACATCGAAAGCAGATTCGGAATCAACGTACCAGCTCCATGATACAGTCCACAACTTATATGAAAGCATTACTTTGACCAATGTCAATCCCCTTGTTAGAAGGGATGGCGCATTGGCATGAGGCGCCGCCATGACGGTTTGAATCAAGGTTCGATTGCCGCTCCAGATCTAAAGCCTATTTTTAGGTGAAATGAAAACGGTACCGGAGCAGTATGGAATGATGAGAGCACAACATTTGTAGCCAATTCACACCTGGGGCGGTAATTATCAATCTCCTAAATGGGAAGGGGTTTCCGTACAGGTAACAGCCCGCAGAGGCGGGGGCATTAGCGTCCGCAATACACGAGGCCAAACTAGTGATACTGTTGGCAGATCGGACCATATTGTAAAGTTTGATGAATCACGGGATTGCTGCTCTCGCTCGTCTGGGCATTCGTTAATAATGGTCCGAACAGCGACTGGGAGATTGATAAATACTGCCCCTGGAGCTATTTTGCAGCTCCTCTCTCACTCGGATTCGATTGTGAACTAATGGCCTCCGCTATAATGACAAAGGCGAATCCTTTTCTCTCTTGCCATTAAAAACTTGGATGAACAAGGAACAAACAAGTGACGTCTTTCTTTACCATGCACTTTTTTACACTTTAGAAAGCGTTTTGCATTGTAGTCATAGTTATACATAACGTAGCCTAAGGATAATTAAAAAATGAGTAAGATAATTGAACAAAATTTCTCAACAAAAATAAGGAAGGTGTGTAAAGGCAAAACAGGAGATTCGATCCATCATGGCGCCGAGGCAAAGATCATTGTAGATATGAAGTTGCGAAAACGGCGTCAAATCTTTTCCTCACCTCCTTTTCAACTCCTTTTTCCAGGTCTATGTGCTAACTAGAAACTACTTAAAATCCATTCTTTCCTACTTGTGACAAAGTTGAGATAGAGTTGTTGACTAAATTTTCACGTTAGATGCACTTCTTGCAAAAGATAGAGAAAGAGAGAGTTTTGCGCGCGAACCGCGTCAATGCGGGTGTTGATAAGCGTCAGCTTCGGCTGATGGTGTGATTAGTGTGCAGTTGCCCGCTCATTGCCTGATTTGTCAGGCACATGCCATACTTGATCCGCTTGGTCCACTTGGTCCGCTTCAACCGCTTCGCTATTGGTCAAATCAGTGAAATGACCAATAGTGAAGTGGGTAAGCGGAAAGCGAATTAAAAGGACATCCGCTTTGCTATTGGTCATTCTACTGATTTGACCAATAGCGAAGTGGGATTAAGCGGATCAAATGGATTAACTATGGCGCGTGCCTTAGTCAGACAACAAACCTTCTTCGACTCGCGTCAAAATTATTTTTAGCATTTTTTATAGCATGAGCATTTTTATGGAAAAAAGTATTGAATGTTTAGTACCTCAATTGGAATATTATTTGAATCGGTAGCAGAACATGCGAAAAAACGGGTTTTGCCCCCATCGTTTGTGTGTGGGAGTTTGCAAAGCACTCGCTATTTATTTGGCCACATTGCATCACAGCTTGCAAAAAATCGTTGCATGAGAGGTCAAACCCGAACGATTACATTAGCACGTTAGCGTACGTAAAATAGTTCATTGGTAAAATATGAGTACCTGCTTCAATATTGCAACAAATTCAGCGGTATTTTGACAATGATGCTGGTGTATATGGGCTAGGGTCAAAGTACTGCTCAGACATGTAGCCGGAACTTCCGCAGCTTTCGCAGCATTGCCGCCGGGTCACCTGCGGAGACCCTGCGATGCTGCGACCGCTGTAATGAAGTGCGGAGGGTATCAGCAGCACTTTGTTTGGGGACAGCACTTTGCGGTTTTCGCTTCTGATTCGCGATCAATTTCTTCCATTTCAAGCTTCCTTTTGTAATACTAGTTTTCGATAGTTTTCGATTTTGAGTGAGCCTTCCTCTTGATGTAAACTTCTTAAGATGCTAGATAGGATAGAAACAACGAGGTATTTATTGGAAAATAAAACGTTTTTAAGCACAGTTTATTTTTCTATGCAAAGGCATTTTATAGGAACAGTAGATCGTCAGAAAGAGTTTGATTATTGCAGTAGAAGTCAAACACAGATCAACGAGATCGAGAATGGAAGAGGGAAAAATAAGGAAGCAGTGTACGAATACATTGCATAGAATATGGAAACATTCGAAGTATACGTAAGCGAACATGGGTAGCAAAAATCGACAAATATAAGGAGTTTGAGAGCAGTGATACACACAGATGGTGAAATATCAAGCGATATGAGAGAAGGCAATATGTGACAGAAATAGCAGATAGAACAGAGTAATTGACGTTTAGAGAAATACTTGGTCACGGAATAGAGAAAGTGATAATTTCAAAGATGACATGGCAATAGAAGCAGTGAAATGGGAACTCACGATTATGCAATGAAACAAGTGAAATAAGATTAGATGGCAAGAACTTAGTTACTGACAAGGGAACGATGGTCAATCAAAAAGGCTTTTTGCGACGATTTGTATACCATGTTGGAGGGCGTAAACTGCTAATTCCAAATCTGTTCTCCTTATCTGCGGAGCGTTCCTGGACGAGGAGTTATGACCGTATAGGTGCAAAGAAATGAATGTTTTTCTGGGATAAAGACAGTTGCTAAAATTTTTCCAGCGCTTGAATGAGACAGCGGGAGCGCGGATATCTCAACTAAAAGTATTTACTTTATAGAGTGCTGGAAAGATTATCACTGGTCCATTTGGGCGCTAGGAAAAATGTTACTACTGTTTTTATTTATTTATTTATTTATTTATTCTTACACCCAAGGGTGCGCCAAAACGAAAAAAACATCTAAAACAAAGTAGCTATAGAATATCTGCCACACAATGGAGTTAGTAATACCCAGGGTCAAGCAAGATGTGTGGCACACGATCGCTGGTTACGACCCCCCCCCCCCCCCTCCCCCCTGATTGCTGTCTTAATAAGACCCCCCCCCCTGAACTATATACCTAAGATAGCATTACCAGAGTTGAAAAAGGCACAAGTCTTTCGAAAATAATCCCCCCTCCCATGAAAGCCCTCAAACGACCCCTTCTTCTTCCTCTTAACCTCTGGACCTCAAAGTTTGACATTCTGGAGGACACCAGCTTTTTCTAGAGAGTTTTCAGATTTCTGAGAGCTGTACGCCCGATTTTCTGTGACTGCACTTTACAATCACACGTAATTTGACGGCTGATTTTGATCTGAATGGGCATATTGAAAGGGCCATAATTTTGTTATGGGTGGGGCGTTCGGCTCCAAATTTCCAGTGTAGCAAGAAGAAGCTATGTGCTCAGTACTCATACCAGCAATGGAGCGCTTTCTGGATTTTGAAGGCAAGTTAATGGGGTGCGGCACACCCCCTCAAAAGCTGCGGCAGCCGCAGCCTTTAAGGGGGTGTGCCGCACCCCATTAACTATATCAAAAAAAAAACATTTTTAGCGGACAGTATTTATATGAATCGATAGCCTAAACCTTGTAGATTCCATAGGACTGTTTGGAGCCTGATTCGTCTTCTTAGCTCTGAGTAATATTTGGTGAAAGCACAGCGATCGAAAGCGAAAAATGGGAAAAACGAGATTTCGGTTGGCTTCTAATTCCACAGTTTGCAGGTCTGCCGAAGCGGGATTCCTGAGGTGGACAAAGAAGGAGTAGTGCTTTGTCTTGAGTGCAAAAACGGATAGCTAATTCACTTTTGAAACAAAGTTAACCATGTTGGAATTTGACCATTTCATTTAGGTAGCTATCTTAGCGTAGTATCTTAAATCTTCAGAATTCGCTCACACTTTGTCTACAGGGGTTAATTGACATGCTAATTATGGATATGATACAAATATCATGTTATCACCATTATCAGATTACCCAACTACGACCCCCTCCCCTTTTGACTCCTCAATACGACCCCCAGGTGTGGCGTGCCGCACCCCACGCTTGACCCTGGTAATACCTCACCCATCCCCACTATGAAGAGTAGAAATGATAGCGAAACTAGATAAGCTTGTGATAACTCAGTCCCTGTAGGCCCGTTAGGTGAATGGCAGCGGGGAATGCCACTGTTCATCCGGGTAAATGAACAGACCAGCAGTAAATTTTCGGATGTTAGGTATCCACCAACCTAACAATTTACTACTGGAATCACATGAGAAGATATAACAGAAGGGATCAACGATGCAGCCTACAGTGAGTAGACTCCAGAAGTTGTTGTTCAAGCAGGGATGATTTAAGTTGCTCGAAAAATAAAAGTACCCAGTTAGCAACAAAAACAAAACTTTCAATCGACATAATATGAGGACTACACAACCACGGTAGCCGACTATGGCAGCCAGAAAGGTTTGAGCCACCTGAAAAATAAAAGATAAGCAACTGTTAGCTGTTAGCAGGAACGAAGAAAGGGAAAAATCAGAAAGTCAACGTGATGACAACTTGCAACATCCGAAACTAAGGAGCCATCTGCATTGGATAGAAACCTGAATGAACATTGACGAAACAAAACGGAAAATGCATTAACAAAAATAAGGACCAACGTTCAAAACCCTAGTAAGATCAATTTTTCGCAATCTCTTTTTGAACAAGAACCCATTTTTGGCAGATAATATTTTGACAGGCAAACGGTTGAACCAAGGTGCGCAGCGGTAAAATAGCGAGTTGAAAAAGATAAGATAGTGCGACTTTTTCAACCTTGGATAACGGAGATTGAACCCTCCTATCCTACAGCTAATTGGCCTAAAAATCCAGAAATTGCTTGCCCTCAAATCGATCTCTTTCCGTAAAATTCTAAAACAAAATACTAAATCTGCCATTATCCTTCTATTACTGAGTGGTTTCAAACTCATCATTTTCAGTCTTTTATCATAAGGTGGCACATCTTTTTTGTTAGTATTTCGAAGTTTACGATAGAAAACCATCCTCGTAAGGATACGCTGCACTTTCTCAAGTTTCAGAATTTCCTATCTGCATGAGGGATACCATACTTGAGAGCAATACTCAAGATGGGGGAGTACATACGTTTTATATAATCTGGTAAGGATAAGCTGATCGGAGGAATGAATATTACGAAAAATTGCAAACATGGAAGACAATGCCTTTTGTACTGCATAGTCTACACGTTCTGAGAAATTAAGCTTCGAGTCAATTAACACTCCCAAATCTCTGACCGACGAACAAACAGTCAGTGAGACACCATTTACTTCATAACATATTGGTTCAAGTTTCCCAAGATGCAGAAAGGAACACTTACGAGGATTCAGAGAAAGATCATTGCTCGATGCCCATAGGCTCACTCTTTCAATAGACGATTGAAGTGCAGTGTGTACAGCGTAATGGTTTTCCTCATTATAGCATGCATATAGTTTAATATCATCTGCATAAATCTGGACATTCACTCCATTCGAGTTTAGAAAAGCAGGTAATTCCAATGTAAAAATAAGAAACAATAACGGAGAAAGTACCCCACCTTGGGGGACTCCACTCGAACATTCGTATTTTTTGGAAAAAGACTGTCCAACTTTCACAGTCATCGAGCGGCTTTGTAGATACGATTCAAACCAACTGAGAAGCTTTTCACACACTCCATAGTTCAGTGATTTAGACAAATGGATGTGGTGAGGGATTTTGTCAAACGCTTTAGACAAATCAACATAAATAATATCAACCGACATACCAGCATTGAGAGCTTTTCTCCAATCAAAAACACTTTTGACTAAATTAGTCGTAGTAGATCTTCCGGGAACAAAACCGTGCAATTCAAGAGGAATGGAGTGGAAACTTTTCAGAAAGCGAACTATCTTATTTCTTATGATCTTCTCCATTACTTTGATTGGAGTGGATGTTAGACTTATTGGACGAAAATCAGAAAGAGTGGAGGCCGCTGTAGTTTTCGGAATTGGAACAATTATAGCTTCCTTCCATAACTTGGGCACCTCAGAAAAATCCATAGATAGATTGAATATGTCAGCAAGAGGCTGCGAGAGGGTTTCAGCGCATTCTTTGTAGACAACCGGTGGAATTCCGTCATAGGGTTCCGTGCAGGACGAATTAAAAGATTTCAAAATAGCTTGTACATCGGTTTGCTTGAAAAATACCGTACAACAGTTCTGAGCACCGTTAGAAATTGTAGCCGTGAGGTTACTATGTCTACATTCCCTACTGGAGAACACGCTGGCAAAAAACCTGCCTAGAGCTTCAGATTTTTCACTGTCATTTCCACAACTATTACCGCATTCATCATGAAGAATAGGAAGTCTAGGGCTGGTCTGCAACTTACGGCGCATGTAACCGAACAGACTATTTTCTGGGATTTTTGAGGACAGTCTACGTTCATAATTGGCTAGAAATTTTTTTAAATGGAAGTCCAAATCAGAGCAGACCTTCTTGTAAAGACTGTCTGACAGAGGCTCTTTCAAAACTTCGAAAAGATTATGCTTTTGGTCAATCAGTGCACATATATGCTTAGGGTAG